GGGGGGGGGTCCGGTCGTGGGAGTCTGAACTCTGGGCCTGGGCGCTGTCCCTCAGCTCTTCAGCTCAAGGCTAGCGCTCTACCACTTGAACCACAGCACCACGTCTGGCTTTTTTCTTTTTACTTACGTGGTGCTGAGGAATCGAACCCAGGACCTCATGCATGCAAGGCAAACGCTCTACCACTGAGTCACCTTCCCAGCCCTCCTTCCTTTCTTGACAACATCTCAACATGTAGCCCAGACTGGTTTCAAACTCCAGGTTCTCCTGCTCTGACTCCTCTAAGTGCTGGGATTATAGGTGTGTACTACCATGCCCTGCCTAGAATGTTTTCTTCATACTTCATATTCCATAATAGACCACATACTTCATATTCCATAATAGACCACAGCTGTTCTTGCCAGTTCTCCCCCTTGTACACACCATATCAAATAATCTTTCACTTCACTTATTCAGTTCTTTTTTTGGGGGGGGGTGGTTGTGAGGCTTGAACTCAAGGCTTGGGCACTGAATTCTTTTTGTTCAAGGCTAGCACTCTACCACTTTAAGCCACAGTTCCACTTCCAGTTTTCTAGTGGTTAACTAGGAGTAAGAGTCTCACAGACTTTCCTACCCGGGCTGGCTTTGAACTGCAATCCTCTGATCTCAGCCTCTTGAGTAGCTAGGATTACAGCCATGACCCTCTAGTGCCTAGCTCAGTTCTTTCATTTTAAAGAAGTTTTTCTGTTTGTTGTTCCTTCATGCTATTTTCTGTTTCATTTATGGAGTTGCTGGGTAACTGCCTTCCTTGTAAATCCTTAGTTGGCTTTAATCTTTTGTCTAATACATATATTGGATTGTATCATTTCCAACATGATAATAGTTAACGTTTTAACTCTTTTCTGTCCCTTGATGTTTATATAGTTTTAAGTATTAGATATATAACAGTGTTACTTTTGTTGTTTCTTTTTTTTTTCTCCTTTGCTTTTCAAACTCCCTATTCTTCTGCCTTGTTTTATGGTATCTTTGACTCTCTTGAATTCATAGCAGTAGTTTGAATATGGCTTTGGGGAGGCATCACGCCTTTCTTGGCATATGTTTTCTTCTAGGGCAGTTTCTTGGTCTTTTATCTGACCTTGTTCCTTTCATTGTCCCATGCCATTTCTTTTTATCTTGTTCATGCTTAATGTGGACAATTCTGTTCAGGCTTCATCATAGTTCAGGCAGCGTCTAGGCCAGGTGCATCATCTTGCCAAGTTACCCACTGGGGACCTGTTATCTTGCACTCCAGGCTACCTTCGAGTGCTGTGGGTGCTACTTTCTCTCTGTCCTCCAGGATATGGTTGTGGGAGACAGTGGAGAGCTTGGCAGGGATTGAGAACAGTCCTTGCCGGGAGTTCTTCAAAGTCTGTTCTCTCTAGTTAGAGATATAGTTCCACTCCACGAAGTATAGCTCTGCTGCACTTCACCTCAACCTGCTGCGCGGCATGTCATGTATTCTTTCAGACCTCTGCACAAGGTTTGTGTCAGAGTAAAGGAAGGCCTATGTCTGTTGTAGTTTATTTATTCCTTAATCTCTGTAGTGGTCATTCAGGTTTATTTGTTGTATAGCCCTAGCTGGCCTTGACCTCATGATCCTGAGTTCCAGGATCATCAGGATATGCCACCATGTCCAGCTTTCAGGTTTATTCTAAACAGGGCTTTAGTCATTTTGTTCAGCTGTTTTCTTTTACATGTTCCTGCTTTTATTTCTGAAGGGTAGGCTACTAGAATTAGCATTATGGTGACAGAGAACAAAATATCCCAATATAAATGATGTTTAATGAGTGACTATTTCAGAACAGACAAGTGCATAGAGACAGCAATGTGGCTCCAAAGGGTGCAGTGTCCACTAGTGGGCGCAGGGCTTCTTTTTGGGATGATGAAACTGTTTCGGAATTAACAGTGGTAGTGTTTGCACAACTCTGAAAACTCCTAGTTATACACATAGCAAAGTGAATCTTAGGTTACATGAATCATAAAGCTGCTTGTTTATTTTTGTGCTGGTACTAGGGCTTGATCTCAAGGCCTTGTACTCCCCCCTCAAGACTGGTGCTCTTTTATTGTTTTTGGGTCCAGTCGTGGGGCCTGAACTCTGGGCCTGCGCTGCTGTCCCTCAGCTCTTCAGCTCAAGGCTAGCACTCTACCACTTGAGCCACAGTGCCACTTTCAACTTTTTTCTTTTTTGCTTCTGTGGTGCTGAGGGATCGAACCCAGGGCCTCATGCATGCAAGGCAAGCGCTCTACCACTGAGCCACCTTCCCAGCCCAAGACTGGTGATCTTTCACTTGAGCCAGACCTCCAAAGCTGTTGTTTAAAACTAAAACCTTTCTTGGGGCATGGCTCAAAGTTAGAACACTTGCCCCAGTAAACACTAGGTCTTGAGTTCAAACCCCAACTATCAAAAACAGCAACAAAACAAAACAACAAAAAAAGCTTTCTCATTTACTGGCAAGTTTGAGAATTGTTTTGGTATAGAATACCTCTGTACATCCTAGGCTGGGCTGGAACTCCCAGTCGTCCTGCCTCTTAGGTTAGTATTATAGGCATGCACCACCAGGCCTGCTTAATTTCTTTAATAATTACCAATCATAGCCAGGCGACAGTGGCTCATGCTTGTAATCAGATCTCAAGAGACTGAGATCTGAGGATCAAGGTTCAAAGCCAGCCTGGGTAGGAAAGTCCGTGAGACTCTTATCTCCAATAAACCAGTAGAAACCCGAAAGTGGTGCTGTGGCTCAAACGGTAGAATGCTCGCCTTGAGCTGAACAGCGCAGGGACAGAGCCACAGTTCAAGCCCCACAACCAACCAAAAAAAAAAAAAAATCATTATTTTGGTTTACATTTTCTTGTTAGTGAAGATAAGCATGTTACATTTGTGGCTGTCTGTAACTTTTCTCTTTTTATTATACCATCTTCCTAAAATGGTTATAGGCACTTTTTGTTAACCAGAAATATGACTCTTCCATAATCTGTTTATTTATTTTATGAGTGCATGGTATTGTGCTTTGTGCTCAAGGTCTGGTGCTTACAGGTATTCTAATATTTGAAATGTACCCTCAGCTTCTTTTTTTTGCTTTTAGTTACTTTTCAGGTAGGGTCTAACATTTTTGTCCAAGGCTGGTCTCTAAGATCCTCTAACCTATGGCCTCCTGAGTAACTGGTACCAGAGGTACATTCTCCCACACCTGGCTTTTTGTTTTGCATTAATTATTATTATTATAAAGGCATGCCTGGCTTTTTTGTTGTTGGTGTTGGTCATGGAGCTTGAACTCAGGGCCTGGGCACTGTCCCTGAGCTTTTTCAGTAAAGGGTAGTGCTTTACGACTTTGAGCTGTAGTGCCACTTCTGGTTTACTGGTGGTTAGTTGGAGTCTCCTGGACTTTCTGGACCCAGGCTTGTTTTCAACCTTGATCCTCAGATCTTAGCCTCCTGAGAAGCTAAGATTACAGATGTGAGCCACTAGCACTCAGCTACACCTGGCTTTTTGATCGAAGGATCTTGTTAACTTTTTCCCTGGGCTGGCCTTAAAGTCAGCCCCTCAAATAGCTGGCATTATAGGCATAAGCCACTGTACCCAGCTCACTTGCTTGCTCTGTCTCTGTCTCTGTCTCTGTCCTTATCTTCCTTCCTTCCCTCCCTCCCTCCTTCCTTCCTTCCTTGTGGTCATGGGGCTTAAACTCTGGGCCTGGGTGCTGTCCCTGAGTTCTTCAGCTCAAGGCAAATGCTCTAACAGTTGTGCCACAGTGCCACTTCCAGTTTTCTGGTGGTTAATTGGAGATAAGAGTCTCACAGACTTTCCTGCCTGGGCTGGCTTTGAACTGTGATTCTCAGATCTCAGCCTCCTGAGTAGCTAGGATTACAGGTGTGAGCCAGCAGCACCTGGCTCATGTATTTTGTCTTACTCTTTTTCTGTTGATTATAGGGAATTAAAGACTCATTGTCGGGAATTAAATACTTTTGAAATTATTTATATTTGTCTTCTTTTTCCTTTATGGCTTCTAGATTTTGTATCTTGGCTATCTAGGTAATAAAGCTATTTTTTTAGATTGGAGTAAGTAGCTAAAGTGGGGAAGTGCTATCAAGTACAAGGCCCTGATTTCAAACTCCAGTGCTACCAAGAAAGAAAAAAAAAACCTGTAAATGTAAAAACTGGATTATCTTCTTTGAGAAAAACAACACATTACAATTTGTTTTAGTGCACCAGACAATTAGAGAAGCTGACTTGGTTCATCTGAGATTTATTTTTATGTTGGTATGAAGGAGGAATCTAACTTGTTTTCTAGATGAGTAGCACATAGCATAGAAAGCCTAGAGAAATTCAGCTGTTGGGTTGAATGTAATGGGAAGCTATGGGTTTTGATGGGGAAATAGTGTGTGTTATATTTTAAGTTTAAAAGTTCCTGGGGCTGGGAAAGTGGCTCAGTGGTAGAGTGCTTGCCTCGCATGCATAAGGCTCTGGGTTTGATTCCTCAGCACCATATAAACAGAAAAGGTAAGAAGTGGCGCTCTGGCTCCAGTGGTAGAACACTAGCCTTGAGCCTTGAGCTGAGAGACAGCGCCCCGACCCAGAGTACAAGCCCCATGACCGACCAAAAAAAAA